AGGGCCTCGGCGTCCTGCGGACTGGCGCCGTCCAGGCTCCGCTGGTGGTCCTCATCGCACCTGGGCTTCGCCCCACAGGTTTTGGGCTTCACGGGGGGAAGCCTTGAGTTGGGGAAACCGCGCCCGTCTTTTGGCTATGTACCAACTAGGGGTTGTCTCAAATTAGGGTAAACTTGCGAAGCGTGTCTGGCTGGCTGGCTTGCTTGCTTGCCTGCGTGCCTGCGTGCCTGCGTGCCTGCGCGCCTGCGCGCCTGCGCGCCTGCGCGCCTGCGCGCCTGCGCGCCTGCGGGCCTGCGCGCCTGCGGGCCTGCGCGCCTGCGGGCCTGCGCGCGCGCCTGCGCGCTGCGCCTGCGCTGCGCGCCGCGCGCCTGCGCTGCGCGCGCTGCTGCGCTGCGCGCTGCGCGCAAGCGCGCGCGCGCGCGCGCGCGCGCCTGCGCGCCTGCGCGCGCGCGCTGCGCGCGCGCCTGCGCGCCTGCGCGCCTGCGCGCCTGCGCGCCTGCGGGCCTGCGGGCCTGCGGGCCTGCGGGCCTGCGGGCCTGCGGGCCTGCGGGCCTGCGGGCCTGCGCGCCTGCGTGCCTGCATGCCTGCGTGCCTGCGTGCCTGCGTGCCTGCGTGCTTGCGTGCCTGCGTGCTTGCTTGCTTGCTTGCTTTCCATGCCAATCCGGTGGGAAAAGTACTTAAATAATATCTGTGTGTGTGTTCCCCTGGTTTGCCATTGAGACCAATCGACCAACTCAAGGAGCCCCCCCGAAAACAGGGGACTCCCTGTTGACCATCTGCAAGTTGTGCAGCTCCTGACATAACAAATCATGGCAAAGAACCCTTCCATCGATGTCTTGCTGAACCCCTCCCTACTTGATCTCCCATGAATCTCGCCCATTTCAGGCCATTCCTGTGAGTTCAGGCTCTACGCAACCACCGTTTAGAGCATTCGATTTGGGCCCTGTTGGATGGGGGGGGTGCAACTCCAATGATCCGAAGCCCCTCCCCACCAACGAGAAAGCAGATGGCAAAATTGCATGTGGGTAAGTAAAGGGTATGAGGCTTCACTGGACCGGAGCTTCTTGGGCAACCCCTCTGCCAAACCCAGGAACCAAGCGCCCCAGCCTCGTGGGTGAGCCCCTTGGGAGCTGGCTTCGGTGGCCCAATCCAGCCCTCGGAGTAACCCTTGGCCTGAAACAAACTTATGAACCTATCAAGTTCCAGTTTTGGGGGGTCAGTTGCCATTGTTTGCGGGTTTCTGGGCTGTGTAAACCTTCAAACGATTGACATTTGGATATCTCAATATGCTGCCTACCATTGAGGAGCCCCTTCAATTCTGGTGGAGGAAATACGGCTATGACATTTCAATACAGAAAAGGCAAAACCCCGCGTATATCCTGCCCATCCATTTTCTCGCATCCCCATGTCGTCTCCGCCAAAAAATACCCCCACTCCCTGCCTGAAGCCCAGCTTCTTCTGGTACCCCCAGGCGCCTGAAAGGGAGCAAAAGCCATAGCAACAAAAACGTGCCGTAAAGCTGACTAAGGCCAACGAAACCTTTTGCCTTGTACTTCACTCTTGGGGCCTTGATATGAGGGCGCGTCAAAGTTGCTTTGAGAACATGGGGCAAGGAACCCTTGAAAAAGGCACACCAAGGACGGATGCTTCGGAACACGGCCAAAACCTTGCTCTTTGATGGACACCTTTCCCACATGAAGCGTCCAACCAGGATGCACTTGCAAAGGCTGCGCTTATCAAACCGCCAAAATTCCTTGTGCCGGAGCTGCAACTCTTGAGCCAACGATTCCCCCTTTGCTACGATAGCGTGCACATGTGAGTTCTTGTCTACGCAGAGATGGCCATATGTCACCGCGTTAGTTAGGTCAGCATGCCCAGCGGAGCCTGGGCCAGTGTAGGCTGGGGAAAAAAGTCCTGCGAGGAGTGAAACTCATGGGGGCTTCCGTGAATTCGGAAGCCCCAAGAGCGATGGTGTCTTGAGGCTTCCCCTCAAAATGTCATCCAAAAACGCCTACATCGAGCGCGGTATGCCTAACCGCTTAGCATGGTTAGTTCCCGTAACACGTGGCCTAAGGTGGATATGAACATTGTTGACTCTTCTGGCTGCTTAGAACCACTGAACCAAGCGGTTGGCCGTGTGGGTTTGTGTCTCATTGAGGGAACCTGTAAAAATCAACCCGAAAAGGTACACACAAAAGCAGACACCCACTCACCCACGTCTCAGTTCTTCACATCGACACAACTTTCGGCAACACCCATCAGACGCGTCCAAAAATGAAGAACCGAAAACCTGGCTCCGATCCCCGAAAGCGTTCGGGGGAACCAAAAGGCTCCGGAGGGGAGCCAAGATACAGCCCTTGGGGTGACCTGTTCTTTAACCAATGGGCTCTTTTTGGTTTTGGCGGCTATCGGAACACGTTCATTCGAACCCGGCAAGCGGGTAGCCTGAACACTCATTCAAAAAGGGGTAGGAAAAGAAGCACATTTTAGAAACATCTGTCAACTTCACATGATAAGCAATAGTCGATGCCTCGAAACTACCCTGGCTGTTGCAAGTCAAAAGTCAAGGACTGCTGCTCACGTGCTGAGGATGTGCCACCCCCCACCCTTGGTGCCAAAAACTTTAAAAACCATAGTAATCCGTAGTTATTACGTCTGTATGCATAATTGTGTGTGTGTGTACGGGTAAGTATGAGTAGCCTCTGTTTGGAGTGTACTCCCTGAAAAGGGAGGGGGGGCGTTCAAACGAGACACTCTTCTTCCATCCACAACCTTTTTGGGGGGCATTCCCCTGTTTTTAAAAATAAAAAAACATACAATGTTGGCAATATAAGCCAAACAGGGGGCACAGGTGTCCATTAAACTGTGGTGGTACAGGGCCACGTGAGAAATTGATCGCCCGCCTGTTGAGGAGGCAGCGCCTTCTTGTAGCTGGAGGAAGCCTGAAAGAGGCTTTAAGCGCAGAAAGGGCCGGGACGGTGCGAGAAGGCTCGATATGAAGTTCATATGGAGTTCGGAGTCAGCCCCTGTTTTGTTTCACGTAAGTCCTGTTGCTTGCTTCAGTTTCACATTGGCGCAAAGTAAACACTGTCTAACTCTTCCCCCCACCCACCCCCCACGGTTGGGACGGGCCCGAACAAACTGATTGTTGCGAAATGGGCTTGTCTCCAAACATGGGAACTCCCCGGAAATGAAAATGGCGCCCCTTTTGCTTCCCTCTCAAAAGAGGAAAAAAAGGGGAGCAGGAAATCCTCACAAAGGAATACACCCAAAAATCCCTATGATCAGAAACTAAAGCCATCCCGCGAGAGTCAGCTCACTACCCGTGCACTCAGCTCCATGTGCCAAGAGCACATGTTCACCTCCTTTTGCCTCAATCGATAGGGGTGTTTCCGATAAGGGGCTTTTGCTTGGCTGGTTTATCAGAGAAGTGAGGAACCCGGCCCTCGTGTTTGGAATCATCCGTTTGCATTTCAAAAAGCAACTGCAAATGGCTCGGCAGTCTGGCTTCCAGCCCAGCAAGTCGCAGGAGATATCGACCAGTAATGCCCGACTCAAACATGGGGCTGCTGCCTGGCAATCACGGAAAAACTCCCTCGAAATAAAGCTTGTCCCCACGCACGCTTTGCTGCCGGAAACCGGCTCCTGTGGAACAAACAAGTAAATAGAGACGACACATGCGCGTGCTTCTGGAAGGATTTGTTGCGCCATTGATAAATTAAAAGAAGGGAACCCAAACGGAACCAAGCATGCAGGGTCCCGGTCCCCCTATTTTGACACATGCATGCCAAAGTCACGTTTTGCTTTTCCTTCAATGGGCGTGATAAATTCGAGGGTCTTCTTCTAGTTGAACGAGCCCCCTTTGCCATACGTAGGGAAAACGCAAATTGAAACTAATTCCGAAGCGCCGCATCGCTGAAAGCCAAGCTGCTAGGCTTTGGTTTCCGCTGGACGTACCTCGAAGCACGTCAGTGGAAAGGTCTGAAGCATCTCTAACCAGGGTGTGGGCCAACCACTGCCGGTGGTTGTCAACATCCCTTTGGCCAATCAAAGCAATGTGGGTGTGTCATTCAAGTTGGCAGGAAACCCGGTGTTTCAGGCGGGGGCTTCTATTTTGCACCAGGAGGCATAATATGTCCAGCAAGCACCATTGAAGCTGGAAACCCATCTCCCCCCAGCAAACTAAGGGGTTCTAACAAATGAGATTCTCTACCAACGATGATACTTGTCGGAAAGATTGGCAAGGGATCCCTGAAAACGCTATCTGTTGCACCACCTTTTTCCACAATCCCCATTTAGTTTTACCCGAAGCCAACCACAGGCATTGGCCTGGAACATGGCTCCCGTTTTTTGATAAACCTCACCCAGGTTCCTTCCTCCCAACCATGGCACCGGGGGTGCCATGTTTGCACCGAGAAGGTCAATTGCATGGCCCCAGAGAAAGCTGCTATGTACCTGGAAGGGCGGGTAAACTGGCAGAGGTGAAACAAAAATGGGACCCTACAAGCTCCCAGGATTCCACTTGTTGATTTGCGAGGCTGCCAGGTTCGACTTATAAGCAGCGGGCTGAGTCTACCTTGGCCCATTCAGGTGCTAAGGATGACCTAGGCCCTAGATGACCCAAAACTAAACCGGTTGAACTTGGATCAGGAGGGAAAGGCTGGTTCTTCCGTGATACTGTGGACAAACTCCTTTTAACAGTGCAGCTCCAAGTGGCCAAACAAATCCAGCACATCCATCCCCTGTTGCCTTCCTTTTTTGGGAAAGCATTGAAATCATCCAACCACGCTCAACCACAAAATCGTGGATAGGTACGACAAGTTGGAGAGTTAGCTCCCTTGTTCCCTTTGCTTCAAACATCCATCCAGCCCAACAAAACCATCCAAAACTCCTCCGTGCCAAAACGACCTGTGTGGCTTCTGAGGGCGAAGCGCCGTTCCTCGCCCCCAAAACGGGGGATGGCGCCTTCCGCCGTCGTTTTTTCTATCGCCGAGCTGCACCTCTTCCCTTTCGCGAGAGGAGCTGCCGGAGGCGCAGGTCTTCGTGCAGTCGGACCACTCCGTCCACTCCGAGAGCTGGCAGTCCATACAGAAGTTGGTGCAACCTCAGTCAGTGCGGGGGGGAGGGGGGAGTTGGGGGAGTGGGAGAAGTGGGGGGAGTGGGGGGAGTGGGGGGAGTGGGGGGAGTGGGGGGAGTGGGGGGAGTGGGGGAGTGGGGGAGTGGGGGGAGTGGGGGGAGTGGGGGGAGTGGGGGGGGGAGTGGGAGGGGGGGTGGGGGAGTGGGGGAGGGGGGAGTGGGAGTGGGGGGAGTGGGGGGAGTGGGGGAGTGGGGGGAGTGGGGGGAGTGGGGGAGTGGGGGAGTGGGGGAGTGGGGGGAGTGGGGGCGCAAGCTTAGTTAGGGCAGTTAGGGTTAGGCAAGTTTAGTTGGAAAAAGGAAGCTGGTGGGGAACCACTGACCCAGGGGTGCCAGTTGGTGAAGGTAAGAACCGACCACATCTTTTTGAGGCATAAGGAAGCGCAGGGAACCCTGGCCTGAAAGAAGCTGGATGCAAATCACGTCTTCTTGTTTGGTTGACCCCATGTTTAGCGGGGGCCAAAAGATCAACCGAAGCCCAGTTGCAGCCAAAGACCCCGAATGGGAGAAAGGGATTGGACACATGTCTTTCTGGTTGATGTCATTTTTGTAGGGTCCCGAACCCACCCAAACAAAAAGGGATTTGGGTGTCGTTTCGAGGGAACCCCTCTTTGGGTTATGTTGAGAGCAACCAAATGAAAAACATGCTTGGGATTCGCACAAACAACCCCATTTAGAGGCCCTCCTTTTGGCGAAACATCGTAATACAAGGCACAGGGCTTGGCTCTTCGATGGTTTAAAACCACTGTCCTGACCAAAGGTGCGTGCCATGGAATCCACTGGGTGGAGTGTCAGGAAATCGTACACGGGCTGCTGGTTGAAAGAGAACATGAAGGAAAGAAAACCAAAAGCTTGGGGCTTGCTACGTCCTGCAACGAGATCAAATGCATAAAAAATGGACCAGGGCTGGGAAGCCACAGGATCGAACGCCAATGGATTTCCATGGCAGGCTGCTTGTTTTGCATAGTTGACTTTCAAGGGGGCCCCACCCCCTCCGAACAAAAGTTGGAACATTAAGAAACGCACTGGAGTTGAACTGCTATGTTTCGGCTTTGCCTCCAACTGCCTCAACATTCTCCGCCACATGGTTGTTTCAAGCAAACCACCGGGACGCAAAAGTAATCTTGAAAACTGTTCGAACGGTTCGCTTTGAACCTTGGGGCCAACCTCTAAGCGGTTTCCACCATTGTTTCATCTACCTCCTTTTGGTGTCCCCCGATTTTCAGGGGGAGGGGCTGGGCTGGGTCAACCACATTTTGCACCCCATGGGACCTCCCCACGTCCCGGGGCTGGCATCCGGATCCGGGCCGCTCTTCTCATCCGCGAGGTTCCCGCAGGGCGCGCCCCCGAAGTCGTTGGAGATCTTCACGGTGCGGCTCCGGTTCTGGGTGCCGATGCCTTGCCCGAAGGATCCCACGTAGCCGGGGCAGGTGGGTTTGGTTAGCCTGGTTGGAACCTATGTAGCTGGAACAGGGGGGTAGCCAGGATGTGGGGGTTGATCAATATTCCAAGGATAACTTTCCCCAGCTAGTGGGACATATCATCTTTGTAGCGGGCTTTACCCTGGTTATGCCATGTAAATGACCTTGTGATCAACCCCCATGTACCGACGTAAGTAGCCGGGGTAAGTGGGACCGGGGTTAGTTGACTTACCCTGGTTAGGACCTGTTTGGGTGGAACATAGAAGGGGAAATTAGGGTTCGGGGGCGGACACATGTTTACTTTAAGCGATTGTCGATTGACGAGATCCACTTCGCACAAGTTGGGTCGTCCCAGTGGAGTTTCATCTATCCCGGCTGATGGAGTTTGTTTATCACTTCTGTAACATCCTCCTGTTGGTTCTCGTAAGGCAGGTGTCGGTTTTCTATCGCGAACCGAGAGGGATGGGCGTGGCTCCTTTGGAGGGCAACTCTCTTTCTTTGGAGCTGGTTTCTGGGGGGTTGGGTTGCACGAGCAACCGGAAAAAAGCTGCCCCCCCTTGGTGGCAAAGCCCTCCTTTTGTTGCAAGCTTCTACCAAGTAATACACTGGACGCCCCTGCCAGTTTTAAGCAAGTAAACCAATACGAAAAACCACACAACCATGGCAAGTTGCGGGCAAATCGGAGAATCGGTTTCCGCATGTTCCCCTACCAAGGCATCGAGTTATGGATGCCATAGCGGGCTTGGCCTCAGGAGCTTGGAGCTCGGAGGGAACATGAGAGCCGGACATATTAAACGCTTGAAGATATGTGTTGATTTTGTAGATACATGGATGGACACACTCTAGGTTTCCCTCCAACCAGAGTTTCGATCAATGGAAGCTGAAGAGCTTGGTGGTTGTTTTCCTCCACTGAAGAGAGGTGGCTTGGGGAGCGGAGAGCTAGCTCCTGGCGAAACCTGGGAGCTTTACCTGTCCGATAGGACAGAATAAGACAACAAAACAAGTAATACACGCAAACACACACACACACAAACACACACACACACACACACACACACACACACACACACACACACACACACACACACACACACACACACACACACACACACACACACACACACACACACACACACACACACACACACACACACACACACACACACACACACACACACACACACACACACACACACACACACACACACACACACACGCACACGCAGGGTACATGGCAAGCTAGACATCTGGGCAAGTTGCTATCATGCGCAAACCAAAAAATGAGAAATCGACAGTAAGGCACCTGCATGGCTGAGCTCGTAGCAAGGGACGCGACGGGAGTTCAAGGGGTCTACCCAAAGCCGTGGAAAGAAACAGAAGGCGGCCGCACCTGTGCATCTGTTTCAGGCGGCCATCCCTCACTACCCTGCAGCTGCCCGGGTTGTGACTGTGCCTCCTCTTGCGAGTTGGCTCTGAGTCTGTATTTGGGTATATTTCAACTAGGGGCCAGGGTCCCCTTTGGGATGGTAAGGGGAAACCACAAGAAATCCAACCACCAAGGGTCCCTAATTGTGAGAAGCACCCCTTTGCCCCCTAAAACTGTCGGTGTCCCTTCAAATCCCAAAAGGGGGCGAGTGATGGTTTCTGCCAGGGTGCAGTAGGGATGGCAAGAGGACCAGCCCGTCCAGTCCGTAAGCTCGCAGTCCACGGGGCAACTCATCTCGTTGCACTTCTGGGACTGCTCCTCTGGTCCTCGCGGAAACTGACTGCCGGACGGCCGGACATGAGCAAATTGGCTGGGGATGGGGGGGCCCTGGTTTTCGGGGGAAGAATTTGTTGGCCGCATCTCCTGCCCAAACGCAACGATGCGCAGCACCGAGAAAGGGACCTCCATCATGGGTCATTCTAGCTCAGCTGAGCATTTTGACAAATGAGCAAAGAGTCATTTTGATTGCGATGAGGCTCGTTCATTTCGGTTGCCTGCCCACACTACCCGGTGTCTGCCGTTTTGCGGGAAATTAGCGACTGGGCCTCTGGGCTACGGATTGCTTGTGGCCCAATGCTCGCATCTGGACATGGAACGTACGCTTGAAACTCGCCTGTCAAGACAGGTAGCAGCGGTGGCACGGTGCATGCCGCTACAGTTGAAGCACGAAAGCCAACCATGCGAAAAACTCCACAACCATTAAATCAGAGAATCGCTTTCCAAATGTTCCCTTACCAATGGCATCTACCAGATCAAGAAACCAGAAGAGGCCAAGTGTGAAAGGGACTCGAACGATTTCAATCGACAGCACCTGGTCAGCTTTCCCTGAACCCAGACACAGAAGCAAACCTCGGCTCCAGTTCTTTCCTCCTTCCCCGTACAAACCTCCTGCCCAATCCCATGCAAACCCAGAAAACCCCATGCCCTCCCGAGCCCATTCCCTCCCAATCACCATGTTAAACCACTACAAGGGTTGTTCCCATCATACTGACAAAGGGGCAGAAATTGACTTTGGTTGTCTTGTGCGGCTTGGTTTTTTGGGTGGAGCGCTGTAACCACTATACCAATAGAGCCGGCCAAGCCGGTTGCCAGAAGTTTCAAACGTAAAGAACTATCGTCCTCTTCCTCTGTCTCTTTCTCTTTCTCTGTTTCTCCTTCTCTTGCTGTCTCTTTCTCTTTCTCTTTCTGGTGCTCGTTCTCTGTCTGTTTCTCTTTCTTTCTCTTTCTCAACTATGTCCTTTCTCTGTCTCTTTTCTTGTTGATCTTTCTCTTTTGCTTTCTCTTCTGTCTCTGTCGTCTCTTTCGCTTTCTGTTGTCTGTCCTTTTCTCTTTCTCTTCTTCTGTCTCTATCTACCTACCTACCTATCTATAGCAGATCTATCTATCTACCTATCTATAGCAGATCCATCTATCTATCTATCTATCTACCTATCGATCTTGCTCTCCATCTTTCTGTGTGCCATGGTAAGGAGGGCCAGTTTCGTGGCTTAACTGAATGCGTGCATTGCTTGTCTAAATCCCTAAAAGAGTGAATGACCAAATGACCATCCCTGCCAAACCCAAGTCAAAGGGTGTTGTGACTATGGCACATGTGGGGGAAGAGGTCTTGGTTTCAGGCTAGGTGTTTTGCGGCTTGGAGGGACATACCTTTGGAACATTACCCCTTGGAGGGCTCCCTGAAAAAAGGACAAGCACGACGCAACCCCGAGGGTCCCTTGGATCGTAAGGTACTACCTACCCCACCCAAGGACAACAAATGCAGTACATCCAAAAACAAGAACTCGGCCTACAAGGAGCATGTGCCTAGCAAGGACAAGTCGAACGCTGCTTTTGACCACGCACACACACACACACACACCAAAAAAAACCGAAAGACACAACAAGACAAAGTCCAAGGGTACCAAAAAGGACCCTCTGGGTAAAGTGGTTGACTATGCATCAGCACTATGTAGCAACTCTG